ACAAATGCCCATTTTGAAATTACATATACACGTAGGTATATATGTTTAAGCAACACTGAGCTGTTCCTACTATATAAATCATCTTGTCATCTGTGTGTGCTTATACCACAATGTGTGTGTGTGTGTGTGTGTGTGTGTGTGTGTGTGTGTGTGTGTGTGTGTGTGTGTAGAAGTGAGGGAAGGAGGATTCAAACTGGCAAGCCAAAAGGGACTCCTATTAAGTCCTTGAGTTGAAGATGACTAAGTATCAGAGGAACCAAGGTGTAAAGTAAGTCACGGATACTCTTCACAGGCTCTCAAACCCGTCATCCTCCTGCTTCTAGTAAACAACCGGGTGTCCGCTCCGTGCCCGAGTTTTTTTCTGGAACAGTTGCTGAAATGCAGGGTAGCTTTGCAGTCAGAGGGAGGCCCGTCCTCTCAGGTCTTCCGTTTCCCCTCTCAAGTCTCCCCATCCCGTTTCTAGTCGCCCAGAGGCTGTAGACCTTAAGTATAATTACAGATATCAAGAATCTCCCTGGGCTTATCTGTTCAGAATCTTGAGCTGTCTTGTAGGTGCAATTCTGCACTTCCCCCAACATAGACTATCTCTGTGAGACAGCTGCCCGGGGATGGGTAGAGATGGAGAGCGGCTTGGAGAAGCCTTAAGCTCTGGGACATATTTATCTGGCTTTTTTTTTTTTTAAATCATCACGCGCCTACTAATGTCACCGAGCCCTTTGAACTTAAATGGTCCTTTGAACGAAAATGTGCTGGGCAGGACAGAGCGGCAGCGCGTGGTTTGCGGGGAAAACTTTCTGGAGTCGTGGTAGCCCGAACTCTCCGTCTCCTTTAAGCCCTGAAACGTCCAAGAACTCCGGGCTCCTCAATGTGGCCTACACAGTCTATCAGCTTAACAAACGTCTGAAGTTTCAGGAGGTTTCTACCCCTTCCTCTTACTGAGACTAGGGTGTGGGGTGAGGCACCGAAATACCATCTTCGTCCTCACTGGAAACCCCGCGGCTGTGACTGAACCTTCGTAACCTAGAGCCCGACTGGAGAACCTGCCGGCGGAGAACGGATGGGATGGGATGTGGGTGTGATGGATGATATAGCAGGGGGAAGGATGTTCGGAAAGGAGAGCCCAGGGGATAGGCGGAGGGCTGGCAAAGCCGGAGAAACCCGGGCGCTGGAGACAGCCAGACATGCTAAGGATTGAGGCAGATCCTGTGCAGGGGAGAATCGAGGGCTCCGTGGAGGCCTGGGAACGGTGGACACAAGAAGGGTCCTGGGGCCCGCAAGGACCCTGAAAGTCCGCGGGAACAATGAGAGTCCCCAAGAACGGCAGGGAGTGAGGGGCAGTGTTGGGCAGTGAGTGGGTGGGTGCGGTGGGAGAACCGATCGCGAGCTGCGGGCAGGGGCGCGGGCGCCGGGCCCGGGCAGCCGGCGCGCGTGTGGTCAGCCCCGCGGTCCTCCAGCCGCCAGGAGCGGGCCGGCAGGGCTCGGCCTCTGGCTCATTCAGAGGCGGCTCTCGCCTCCCATTGGCTGCCGCCTCCGTGGCGGGGCGGGGCTCCGCTGCCCGGAAAAAAAATGTAACTGCGTAAAAAAGTCCTCGCCTGGGTGACGGATGCTCAAAAGTTCAGAAGTTTTCCCAATGCTTCCTTAAGCGGCCGGCGCAAGAGACTGAGAAAAGGTGACGCGGGGGCCCGGGAAGGCGGCCGGCGCGCTGCCCCCGCCCCTGGTTATTTGGCCGCCTTCGCCAGCAGCCCCGAGCAGTGTCTCCTGGAAGGCGCAAGCAGTGTGGCGAGCCGGGCGCCTTCTTGTTTTTTTGGATTTTTTTTTTTTTTAAACTTTTGTCTCTTTTTTTGCCCTGACTGCGCCTGGAAGTTTCTCTGCGCGTTTCTCCGAGGCGGCTAGCTGCTTCTTGTCCGCCCCCCTCCCTGTGCAGCTACCCTCCCTAGCTGCCCGCGCGGGAACCGAGGGGGGGTGCGAGGCGCCAGGCGAGCGCAGGGAAGAGGCCGAGCGGCCCCGGGCGCAAGGAGGCGGTCGCGGCCGGGACAGACACAGCCCGGCGGGGCCCGCAGCAGCTCGGCGCGGCCCGGACTCGGACTCCGACTCGGACTCGGACTCGGACTCGGCGGCCGGTGCGACGCGGCCCGGCCCGAGCGAGGGTGGGGGGCAAGCGGGCTGCGCCGGGCGGCGGCGAGCCGGGGCCATGCAGGCGCGCTACTCCGTGTCCAGCCCCAACTCCCTGGGAGTGGTGCCCTACCTCGGCGGCGAGCAGAGCTACTACCGCGCGGCGGCGGCGGCGGCCGGGGGCGGCTACACCGCCATGCCGGCCCCAATGAGCGTGTACTCGCACCCCGCGCACGCTGAACAGTACCCGGGCAGCATGGCGCGTGCCTACGGGCCTTACACGCCGCAGCCGCAGCCCAAGGACATGGTGAAGCCGCCCTACAGCTACATCGCTCTTATCACCATGGCCATCCAGAATGCCCCGGACAAGAAGATCACCCTGAATGGCATCTACCAGTTTATCATGGACCGCTTCCCCTTCTACCGGGACAATAAACAGGGCTGGCAGAACAGCATCCGCCACAACCTCTCGCTCAACGAGTGCTTCGTCAAGGTGCCCCGCGACGACAAGAAGCCAGGCAAAGGCAGCTACTGGACGCTGGACCCGGACTCCTACAACATGTTCGAGAACGGCAGCTTCCTGCGGCGGCGGCGACGCTTCAAGAAGAAGGACGCGGTGAAGGACAAGGAGGAGAAGGGCCGGCTGCACCTCCAGGAACCGCCGCCGCCGCCGCAGGCCGGCCGCCAGCCCGCGCCCGCGCCCCCGGAGCAGGCCGAGGGCTCCGCTCCCGGGCCGCAGCCGCCGCCCGTGCGCATCCAGGACATCAAGACTGAGAACGGTACGTGTCCCTCGCCGCCCCAGCCCTTGTCCCCGGCTGCCGCCCTAGGCAGCGGCGGCGCCGCCACGGTGCCCAAAATCGAGAGCCCCGACAGCAGCAGCAGCAGCCTGTCGAGCGGGAGCAGCCCCCCGGGCAGCCTGCCGTCGGCGCGGCCGCTCAGCCTGGACACTGCGGAACCGGCGCCGCCTCCACAGCCCGCGCCGCCGCCGCATCACAGCCAGGGCTTCAGCGTGGACAACATCATGACGTCGCTGCGGGGGTCGCCCCAGGGCTCGGCCGCGGAGCTAGGCTCCGGCCTCCTGGCCTCGGCGGCCGCGTCCTCGCCCGGCGCCGGCATCGCGCCCCCGCTGGCGCTGGGTGCCTACTCGCCCGGCCAGAGCTCCCTCTACAGCTCCCCCTGCAGCCAGAGCTCCAGTGCGGGCAGCTCGGGAGGCGGCGGCGGCGGCGGCGGGGGCAGCGCGGGGGGCACGGGGGGCGCAGGCACCTACCACTGCAACCTGCAGGCCATGAGCCTGTACGCGGCGGGCGAGCGCGCCGGCCACTTGCAGGGCCCGCCGGGAGGCGCGGGCAGCGCGCCGGTAGACGACCCCCTGCCTGACTACTCGCTGCCCCCAGTCACCAGCAGCAGCACTTCGTCCCTGAGTCACGGAGGGGGCGGCCAGGAGGCCAGCCACCATCCAGCGGCCCACCAAGGCCGGCTCACCTCGTGGTACCTGAACCAGGCAGGTGGAGACCTGGGCCATTTGGCGAGCGCAGCGGCGGCCGCGGCGGCTGCGGGCTATCCTGGGCAGCAGCAGAACTTCCACTCGGTGCGGGAGATGTTCGAGTCGCAGCGGATAGGGTTGAACAACTCTCCGGTGAATGGGAATAGTAGCTGTCAGATGGCTTTTCCTGCCAGCCAGTCTCTGTACCGCACGTCGGGGGCTTTCGTCTATGACTGTAGCAAATTCTGACCCCCATCCCCGGAACTCTCAGAGCCGAACGGAATGGAACCCCAGAGCAGGAACAGTAAAAGAACCCAGCAATGCAAAATCGAAACTAAAAACAAATTTTAAAACTTGAGAAAATTCATCACAC